GAGCCCATAGCCCACTGGTGATGTCAGATTAAGCTCTCAAAGCTTGCGTCAAAGTGATGCCAGTCATCTACTACAAGCTAGAAGGCAATGCTCACACCAAACATTTGCATAGCATGCTCGAGTCAGTGAACTATATTTATGTACAAATCCATACCACAGCAATGCATATAAAACTCAGCAACATACTTTAAAGCCAAAAACATTAAATGACAATATCAAGCCAGTAATACTTAAGTTCACTAACCTGATGTGCAATGTCAGGCCTGTAGTCAGCAGGATTTCGGTTATTTCTTTTAAGAAAATTGGCATGATCATCCGAGTTCAATAGCTGGTAACTCTGTTTGAACAAGAGTAGACAATACATCAAAACACACACTCACACAGAAGGGGAGGCATAAGGTATCCAAAAATATGACAAGCAGGAATCTGGAGCCAAGCAAAAGAAAGGCCCCTCAAAAGACATATTATGACAGAAGATATCTCAAAGCCATATGATCCCAAACCACAACCATCAAGAAGACAAACAGAGACAGAAGGCAAGGGATTTACAGTTTGTACATACCTTTCCAACTTTTGCAACTTCCAAAGAAGCCTTCTCAAGAATGAAAATAACCCCAGGCTTATTGTTCTGATCACAAGGGACAATTGGAATCCCTGCAAGTTCATGAACAGCTTCCTCTGCTTTCTCCCCATCTGATGTAGTATTTTCTGCCTTGACTTTCTTTGTTGTTGCTGCTGTCTCCTCTTCTATAAATGGTTTTATTTCTTCGCTGTCATAGTTCTCTTTTCTCTCCTTGCGCTTATGGCCTTTCATTTTATACGGACGCACCATACTTGGTTCACAAAGAAAACTGCTCCATTTACAAAGGTTTCACGGAAGAAAACAAAGTCATAAGCATGAATGCAATCTTATAATTCATTAGAATTGGGGTACAAAATAGGAGGCAGAGAATATCAGGACAAACTACTAGAAGCTTATCACAAAAAAACTTCCCCTTGGAAAATGGAAATGCAGATTAACACCATAATTGCTACATGAAGAACCATGTTTGCCCAAATTTGCGGAGCCCTCTATACCCAAGCTGGTGGAATCACTGGATGTACACGTTGATGGGTTGTCATATATAACAAGATAAAAGAATCAAACAAAAAAAATTGTTCCGGAGAGCAAAAATGTAAAAACAAGCCAGTTNAGAATATCAGGACAAACTACTAGAAGCTTATCACAAAAAAACTTCCCCTTGGAAAACAGAAATGCAGATTAACACCATAATTGCTACATGATGAACCATGTTTGCCCAAATTTGCAGAGCCCTCTATACCCAAGCTGGTGGAATCACTGAATGTACACGTTGATGGGTCGTCATATAGAACAAGATAAAAGAATCAAACAAAAAAAAATTGTTCCAGAGAGCAAAAATGTAAAAACAAGCCAGTTATTGCTATAATGTCAAAGGAATCTGTGTGTTATGTAAGCCTCCAAATTGCAACACCTGTACTATAGCTAATGCAAGGGTGAAGAATGTAGAACAGCTAAATGAACTCTTTATACCTATGAGGAGAGTAATTGTATTGATATATGAAGTACAGATACGGATACGAATACGGCAAAACTTTAAAAAAAATAAAAAACGGGAACAGTTACAGCTAGGATCCTTCCATAAAATTATGTTTTCAATTTTTTTTTATTATTATACATAATGTAATAATTATGATTTCTAAAGTGAATCACGCATCTATCAATGATCCCTTGTACTCATTTTGAGGGAAATTGCATTGGAATCTAGTATTTCCACCTCCTTCCCCCATTTTTTTTCTATTTTAGTAACATAACCCCAAAGAGAAGCATTATCATCTTGATTATTGGGATTGGGAGTGCCACTTCTACTTCCACTAATTGAGCCCATACTTTCCGTACCCATACTCATTCTCCTATAATTAGTATTAATTAATAAAACCAATGCTAACTTACAGCAAGCAAGCAACACCATATAAAAAATAATTCAGTAGTCAATACTCAAAACAAGTTGAAAATTCAACACCCAACGGTAACATAACAGTACAACACCATTTGTAATTGGAAAATAATTCAAGTATTCAACAACAAGCAAAAGAGAGGAGAGACGGAGACGCAGACGGAGACGGAGACAGAGAGAAGAAAGAGCTTAGGGCACCGATGATACAGTATAAAGGAGCTGTAGAGAGTCGTCACTCGTCAAAGCTGCACTTCACAGTACCAGGAGGCATGGCCGGCTCAACAGTAGTAAAAAAAAGCATGGCCCTAAGGCCCCAAACTTTAGAGTTCAATAATGAGATATAGATCAAAGATTAAACTCATTATAATTTAGCTTAACAAAAAAACTAATATAACTCTCATCATATGATTTCAATTTCAGAAAAACAAAAGGAATTAAGACTCACACAGAGACTGTCAAACAGAGAGAGAGAGAGAGAGAGAACCTGGGATGCTTGTGCTTGTGGCTTCGAAGAGGAGGCGGGAGCGGCGAGAGGCTCTGAGACTCGAAGAGGAGAAGGTGCTAGGGTCGATCGACTGAGAGAAGCAGAAAGAGGCGAGAGTATCTTGAGGCTCGAAGAGGAGGAGGCGCTAGGTATTTTTGGATTTTTGTGCACACATTAACATATATATATATATATATATATATTTTTTAAAATAAGAAAAATTTCAACCACACCCCCTCTAATTTACCATATCTTCAAGGTCACCCCCTTTATTTTCTGAATCTTCACTGACACCCCTGTCAGATTAAAAATATTAACTAAAATAAATTTTATTAAATTACTCATGATATATTTGAGGACAAACTTCATTCACACCCTCTCTAGATAAACATATTTTTAATGAGACCCCCTTTGTTTTCTAATTTTTTTACATATTATAATTTGAGCCGATTAAAATTCGATTCGAGCTAATTAAAATTAATTTATTTTTATGTATTAACATTCAAGTCGATTAGAAATTATATTTTTTACGTATTAAAATTTGAGCTAATTATAATTCTATTTGAGCCAAGTAAAAAATATTTTTAATCAACTCAAATTAAATTTTAGTCAACTAGCATTGAATTTTATTTGACCCAAATTTTAATACATAAAAATTATAAATTTTAATTGACATCAATTTAAAAAAAAAATATAAATTTTAATCGACTCAAAAACGAATTTTAATCGGAGCTAACAATTCAGGTAGAGCTCAAATAAGCTCAATTTTTAATACGTAAAAAATAAATTTTAATAGGCTCGAATTTTAATATATAAAAAAATAAATTTAATCAGCTCGAATTAAATTTTAATCGGCTCAAATTTTAATATATAGAAAAATAAATTTTAATTAACTCAAATTTTAATACGTAAAAAAATAAATTTTAATTGACTAAAATTTTAAATTTTATGTAGAAAAATTATTTGGGGTTTATATAGGGACAATTGTGGTATTTTAGATGATTTTTTTTTTGGGTTAGAAATGGTGATTTAATGACAGGGGTGTTAACCAACAGACATTTGGTTCAATGATACTCCATGTCTTATAAAAGTTTTGTCTTTTTAAGGTTAAGAGATCAAGTCTCTCTCCCCTCCCCTTTCCCTTAAAAAAAAAATATATATATATATATATATATATAAAATGACAGGGGTGTTATAAATGTTTTTGATGATAGAGGAGATATCTTTGAAGATACGGTAAACTAGGAGGGGTATGACTAAAATTTTTCCTAAAAAATATTATATGCGGCTGTGGTACCAGGAGAAGAATGAAAATGTTACGAGTATTTTGAATTCTTACTCGATTGCTTACAGAATATAAAAAAAATTTCTATTAACCGACCAATTGTTTTGGAGAAGCCAATTAATCGACTCCAATAGGGTCGGAATTGTTTGGGTATGATAAAATTTGAACACTCTTACTTGAAAGATTTAATTAACAAAATAAAATTTAAAATTTAGATCCAAAAATATAGTCCACCTCACAAATACATATTTTAAAGGACAAAAAATGATTAATACTTTGATGAGACTTTTCTGAAATACTTCAAGATGAAGACACGTGTTCTCGGCGTCACTAAAAATTCGGTTATTGAGATCACGTACCATTGGCTTACAACTCCCTCGCCCCCCGAGGTACTTGACACGTGGTCAGTACGTTTTACGAACCAGACACGTATCTCTCGGTCTGATATGGTACCCTTGGTTGTCATGTACAGCTCCCCTTGACTCGAGATGTACATATCCTCGGTACCGAGATGTACCCCGTCCAGGATGTCTTTTCTCTGCTCCAGTATAAGCTATTGATGTACAAGTCATTAGTNACCCCCGTCCAGGATGCCTTTTTCTCTGCTCCAGTATAAGCTATTGATGTACAGGTCATTAGCTTAGGCTAGTCTAGGTTAGCTATCATGGTCTCGTCTTACACAATTGGTGTCAGAAGGCACAAGAAGGCAGGGTCCACAGCCAATGAGAGATGGACGCGTGGCAAATTATGTCACATCAGAGACAGAAAGACTGCATGCCCTTATTGACACGCGACTTGGGAAAGCAAACATTTAATTACACCATTCCCTTAATGAGACCACATTTAATGCGGTAAGGCTCAGAATTGAAAGACAATAAATGTCTCTAAGGCTGGGCATTTATTGCATCCTTCCCTAGTGAAGCTCATTGGACAGTCGGCAGCCCGATGACACAGCATTGATTGCTCGGGACTCCGAGCAGTTAAAGAAGAGAAGACATTCCTCATCAGAATCAGTGCACACACTGCCTGTACCTAATGATCACCTACTGACAACACTGACAGCAATCATGAGCTTTTGAGGTATAAATACTCCTCGTAAAAAGCAAGACGGTAGGCAACAAAAACTCTTTACTACGAAATATAGTCAGTGCTTTCTTCTTTCTCTCCCTTTCAAAAACTGACTTGATCGTCGGAGGGGATAAGCCGAAAAACACTCCGGCGTCCTTCTAACTTGTTCTTCTTTGTTCTAGGAACCTTTCTCCAGCCTTACTGGATCGTTCCTTCAATCCATGAGGGTCTCCCGTTGCCGTTCCAGGTTACCACCGGACCTCACAGGCTGTCCCAAGCAGCGTGGTTGACCACTCAACTGACTCACTCGAGTTCACCAAAGGAGAGATCTGTTCTCGTTTTTTATATTGTGCAAGATCCTGCACGCACAATCTGGCGCCGTCTGTGGGAAACGACTAGTTTTCCTAGTTTTTTCTCTATAAAGAACAGTGACCATGGTGAACACTCGACAAAAAGGGAAAGGTCCCCACCAAAGAAGTCTCGAATTACAAGCTCCCTGTCACCACGGAGGAAGGGATCACACTGACGGGAATAAAAATGCCTCCACTCAGTCAAGAGGGGTTACCCCTCAAACCAGTATGAGAATTAGGTTAGGAGGATCAGCCCCCCTGGCTCGTCAGCTGGTGGAGGTGATCGAAGAAAAGTTTGGCGATAGATTACGATAGCTGGAAAAGGACAATGTAAACGTCCTAAGCCGGCTCAACGAATTCGCCGCCTTCGGCGAAGGGTCGAGGGACTCATTCCTCTCTCGTGGGCTCCCCGCCCGGGAGACAAAAACGAAGGATCTAAGGAATCATCTAAACAACAAGGCAGATAGCTCCCGGGCTCCAAAGCGACTGAGAGCCAACAAGCACCTTCCTAACGACCATCCAAGGAAGGCAAGACCATTAGCCCTGGACGACCTCCGGCGAGGATTGTCTAGGCGGAGGGAGGGGGATGAGTCCGAGGAGGATTCTACCCTATCCGCACGGCGCCCAGGAAATGAGGGGCCCATTGATGAACTCAAGGACTTCAGAAGACATCCCGTCAGGGAGGAAATTAATCTCAGAGCCCGGTTGAAATCCAGGAGAAAGAGTAAGGCTGTCCAGGATGAGATCGAAGACGAGGTCATACCAACACCCTTCACCAGGGAGATCGGAGAGATGGAGGTTTCAAGAAAGTTCGTCGTGCTGAGGTTCAAAACTTATAACGGGCGGTCCGATCCCGAAGCCATCTCAGGCAATACAAGCAGATGATGTCCCTCTATCATTCGGACCAACGGTTTCTCTGCCGAGTGTTTCCAATGAGCTTGGGGGACTCTGCGATGAAGTGGTTCGAGACGCTTTCCCCAAACAGTATTGGGTCGTGGAAGGAATTGACGAGGCATTTTCTGGCTCGATTCATTACGGGGAGTAAGCGCCCCAAAGACGTTGGATCATTGCTGACCCTCAGACGTAGAAAATCTGAGACCTTTCGCCAGTATGCCATCCGATACTGGGAAGAGGTTAATGAGGTAGAAGGCTGCTCGAAAGTCATGGCAGCGGCGTCTTTCCGGCTCGGCTTGGCGAGGGATACGGACCTGTACCGATCCCTGACCAAGAAGACTCCCTCGGATATGGGGGAGCTGATGGCCCAGATAAACAAATACTCAAGGATCGAAGACGAGATAGGAAGCAGCAAAGGCCGAACCCTACAATCTAAGAGAAAAGAGAGGGAGCGGGAAGATACTCCCCTCTAGGGGTTGCTACCCCCTCTAGGGGGTTTGTCCAAAGGAGTTCACACTATGTTCAGAGAACCCATCTTCAAGTTGCTCCATAAGATCAAGCACGAGTCATTCTTCAAATGGCCGCCCAAGATGCAGAGCGATCCCTCCACCCGTGATCAAAGGGTTAGGTGTTNATCTTCAAGTTGCTCCATAAGATCAAGCACGAGTCATTCTTCAAATGGCCGCCCAAGATGCAGAGCGATCCCTCCACCCGTGATCAAAGGGTTAGGTGTTCCTATCATCGGGATTTCGGATATCGCACCGAAAGCTGCAGGGTGTACAAATCGTTCTTAGAAAAATTGGTCCGAGACGGATACTTGAAAGAATACATAGAGCCCANAAAACTGCAGGGTGTACAAATCGTTCTTGAAAAAATTGGTCCGAGACGGATACTTGAAAGAATACATAGAGCCCAGGCCAGAAGAGAGACACATCATTGCCCCGACCGAGGAACCGGACAACGTCATAGATGTCATCCATGTATGTCTCCTAGATCGCCCCACGTCCAAGGAACTCGAGTCCGACCTCATGAGGGTAGCTTTTACAAGGAAGGTGGCCGAGGATGATGGAGGGCCACCCAGTAAAAGGGCCAGGACTGGTGAGCCAAGCATCACGTTCTCGGACGCGGACTTGACATGCGTAGTGACTCCTCATAACGACGCCCTTGTCTTAACCCTGAAGATAA